TCTCTAGCAAGGGGAACTGAGAAAAATGTAAAGGAAAATGAGCACAATTTTCCTCAGACTTATTTTTTTCACACTCATTGTGTGAAAGCTCACAGGGATCTTACAGAGAGAAGCCTGCCCACAGCTGTAGCATCCCTGAAGCCCACTGGATGTTACGGTGTGCCTGTGAGCAGCCATTGCAGCCCAGCAAGACAGAGCCCACTGCCAGGCAAGACTGCAGCCTCCTGCTCAGCCTCCCACCTGGATTTTCCCTGTCTGAAGCAACACAACTGGCAAGACCAGCAGCACTCATCACTGCCCAGGCTACGTGAAGAGCCCAGAATGCCCCTGCCTTGGCCACACACTGAGGGTGAACCACCCACCGCATCCTCCGCATCCCTCCGTGCAACTTTCTGCTCCTCGCCTTTATTTTTTCAGATAGGATGATGTTTTAGGATTGGCTTTTTTCTTTTAAGGAATATCTCTTATCCCACACTCGCTTCCAAAGTATCTCCCTCGCAGCTGGCACTGCCTGGCAGAAGGAGAACGGCTCGGTGCAGTTCCCTGCGAGGTTTTGCACCGATGACTCCTGGCAGGGCTGCATGTCCCTCCTGTTACATAACGACCTTTCCCGTTTGGTGCTGGCTCCACTTGGGGTGGCCACGTTTGGGAGTGGTCACATTTGGGGCAGCGACGTGTGGGGTGCTCACATGTCCCGGTGCTCTCAGCCGTGTGCTGCCCGGCACCACTCCCCCATCCCGACCAGACCCACCAACCCTGAACCACCCTCTCTCCTCCTTATGCTTCCCTCCTTGCTGCTGGACCTCTGCCCACCGGGCAGCACCTGCCTTCTCCTGCCCCCCAAACACGACACTCCTCCCCGGGCACTCCATCCCTGTCCCACACCCAGCCCCAAATCGCACCTTTGCTCTCCCCAGCACCCAGAGGTGTCCCCGAGCTCCCAGCCCCCCTGGGGCTGCACCCTCCAGCAGTGACCTGCCTCGGGTGCCTCCATCACCTCCGTGAGCCCAGCGCACCTCCCTCACCTGCCTGCTCCCTGCTGCCCACACCCCACAGCCGCCCCGTCTCTGCTCTCGGCTCGCAGTCCGTGCACACTCCTGTCTCCCCTGCCTGCGCTCGCCTGCACGTGCCCCACAGAGCGGCACCCCACGGCACCTCCTGCCCCCAGACAGCCCAGCCCGCCCCACACCAGCCCCGATCACAGCTCACGGCCGCACCCCGGCACCGCGCACCCCTCACCCGACACGGCCGCACCTCCTGCCCGCGTGTCCCCCCCCACACCCGCACCGCCACCCCTGCTCCCCTGTGCCCACACCCCCACCCAGCCGTGCCCCGCGCCCTGGCATCCCCCCGCAGCCCAGAGCCCGCGCCCGACCCCGCGCCCCCCGCCGGTCTCCGCCCCGCGCTCTGACCTGGGCCCGGCGGCGGGCGGGAGCTGTCCGCCGCCGCCCGGTGCTGAAGGCGGCTTGGCGGCGGCGGCGGCGGGCGGCGGCGGGGCCCCTGCGGCGGCGGCGGCGGCGGGCGGCAGCTGCCCGTCGTCGCCGCCGCCCTCCAGGCTGGCCTCGTTGCCCATGTCGGGCCGGGCGGGACCGGGACCGGGGCCGCTCCCTCAGCGCAGCGCCGCCCCCGCCGCCGCCATCAGCCCCGCGCCGCCATCGCCGCCCGCCCGCGCCGCCCCGCGCATGCGCTGCCTCCGCGCCCGCTCGCGCCGCGGGCACGCGCGCGTTCGCTCGACCAATCGCCGCCCGCCCCGCGGGGCCCCACCGGCACGTGCCCCCCGGCCCCGCCCCGCCCCGCCCGCCGGCCAATCGGCGCCGCGCAGCGCCGGCACTCGCGCCCGCCAGGCGGCGCCACTCGCGCTCCCGCGCTGGCCGTCAATGAGCGTCCCGTCTGCCGTGACGTCACGGACCGGCGGCCAATGGGCACGCAGTTCCGCATGAGGTTACACGCAACAGCCAATGAGCGCCCGCTCACCCATGAGGTCACGGGATGCTGCAGGATGTCACACACCACTGACCAATGAGGTGTCCCCTCCTTCATGAAGTCATGTGCTGCTCCTGGAAGTCACAGCCTGACAACCAATGAGCATCTGCCTCCTCCATGATGTCAGAGGCTGCTCCAGGACATCACACCACATCAGCCAATAAGCACCCCACTCCTCCATGATGTCATGAGCTGTCCAAGAACATCACACCCTGCCAGCCAATGAGTGTCTTGTGCCATGGTAAGGTCATGCACTGCCTTGTGATGTCACACTCTGCCAGTCAGTGATTGTTGTGCTCCCTGATAGGTCACAGGCAGCCCTGCAATGTCACATGCTACTGTCCAGTGAGCACCCTGCTACCTCATGACATCATGGCAGTTGCTCTCAGCCAGGCAATGAGCACACGCCTCCCTGTGATGTCACAGGCTCGCTGATGAGGTGATGAAGCCTCAGCCAATAACAACCCTGTCCTTCCCATGGCCACCCAGAAACCAGCCAGTAACCACCATTGCTCTCCTATGACATCACAGGCTGAGCCCATGGGCTCACACACTGTCCCTAAGTGCCAGTCTCAGCCACCCAGCACCGCCCTTTCCATGAGGTCACACAGCACTCAGCCAATGGCCACGCTCCCTCTGTGTGAGGTCGGAGGCTGCCCATGACGTCAGAGAGCACCGCCAGGGCTCCCTCCCGCTCCCGCCCTTAATGAGGGGCGGTAATTAACGGTGCCGGTCCCCGTGGGCGGAGGGACGCGCTGCCACCGCCGGTCCCCCGCTGCCACCGCCGGTCCCCTGCTGCCACCCGGCGGCTGCCACGGCCCGGGCCCCGCCTCGGGGGGACCCCAGCGGGGACCCAAAATTGTCCCTGGGCGCGCCAGCCCGGGCGGAGCCGGGCCCGGGCAGTGCTGGCGGCTGCTTTTTATGGGCTGTGAGTCAACTCACACGCGCTAAATCCCAAAATAAACGTGAAACTGGGTCCAACCTCACCTCGGAGCGCACCGAAATAGCAACCGGCTCCAACGAGCCCCAGGAACAGGGACCTCAGCGCTTTCCCCGCCCCTTCGTTATCCCCAGCCCAGGGAAGGTCACTGATGTCCCCCGAGGAGCAGGTGTGGGGTGCAGAAGGTGTAACAAGGGAGGAAAAGAGCTTTGGAGGATATGAAAGCACTGAGTGAGAGAATAAAATAGCTTCAGTTCTGGGCAGGGCAACAGATGTGAAATAAACCAGAACAACACCATATCAGAAACAACCCAGCAGCAGCAAGGCTATGGAAGGTTAAAGTGCAGGAGTGGATGAGAGGCCAGGACTTAGCAGGTCAAAACAGCCCCAAAACCCTTCTCAACCCCGCCACTGCAGGTTGGCATCTGTTCTCCCATTATGGGCAGACATTACACCTGCTCTCCAGCACCAAACCCATGGAAATGGAAGCCCATATTCCCCACCAGCCCCACACCAAACCTTCACTGCTGCCTTCTTAAAAGGATCTTCCTGAACTGGAGAGATCCAGAGCAAGTCTCACATTTTACAGACACTTGATACCTACCTCGAAGGCACAAGGACAGCAGGCTCTCTGCAGACCCTCTCCCCAGCTTCTCCTCTGCAGAATTCACTTTGCTTGATTAAGTTCCCCTCAAGCTTTTGTTCCCAGCCCTCTGAACCCTCTCTCCTGGCTCCTCCAAACTCTCCCTCCATTCCACTGAATTCTGCAGTCAGCCCCAGGTGCTGCAGGTGAGACACAGCTCCTGCTCTGCAGGGCTGTGCCTTGTTCACTTCCCTGGGGCTGGGCATCAGTCCCCACAGCTTCACCCCACCACTGTCCTTCCCTGCACAAGGGGCCTGGGCTGGCACCCCAAAGGAACCTGAAGGGTTGAGCATATCCATCACCCAAGCTCAGACCTCCACCCTAAGGTGCAAGAGGCTGGAAAATGCTCAGAAGACAGTTGTGTTAACAAGTGTGCACAGTAATATATTTTATTCCCTAAAAACATGTTTTTAGCCAGTCCAGGAATACAGATTTGGCCTGAAGCAGCTGGAAATAGGAAAGGTCAGATTCGTACAGGAGAGGGCTTTATGAGGTGCCTCAGCACATCTGTTCCTTGCAGCTTGGACAGCCCTGCTTCAGGGGTGGACCTCCTGTTCCACAGCTCCAAGCTGAAGAACCCAGACATGTTCAGCCCCACCAGCCTCCCCCTCCCCTGAAGGGAGCCATTCTTCAGCACTTCTCCAGGCCATTCCAAACCCTCTCATCACAAGGTAGAACGATTACAAAATAATAAAAATACTCTTATTAAAACATAGAAATTATTAAACAAGTTTCACACCCACACATGCCAAGCACAAAGGTCACACCAGCACACCTATCTCTGCTTCTATGTGCAGCAGGGGTCACCCCAATACTTCCCTTCCCAGTCAGTAGTTTCAGTGCCAAGCCTGCAAGACCACTCTGGACTCCATGATTCAGAATGGGGCAGGGCAACACAGCTCCCAAGTCCACCTGTGGCTCTCTCCAGCCCCAACAGGCCTGTGGCTGAGGGAAGGTGTTTAATTTGATGATGAATATACAGACACTCAACAGCCACACAGGGTGCTCTACACACTTCTTCCTACAGTAAACTTTCTTGGAACTATTTACACCAGGCATGGAGCTGGTCCAGGTCCCTTCTCCCTGCTGCTCTCCAGACTGACATCCCAGACACCTTCCTGCACCTCCTGCTTGTGGCTGCATCCAAGAAGTGCAGTTCCACCTGGTGCCAGAGAGCCCAAAGCAGCAGCAACTGCAGAACTCTGAGGAGGCCAGAAGGCAAGAAAACCCTGTTAATTCTGCAGTAAAAAATGGATGAAGGAATGGTAAAATGAGGGTAACTCAGTCCAGGCACTAGCCAGAGGCTTGGCCTCCAGAGGCTTGCTGCAAGGGCAGGATTCTCCACAGGGCAGCATCAGTGCTTTGTGAACAGTACCCCAGGCAGTGGTGGCTGCACATTGCCTCCTGCCAGGCTCTGGGCAAGTGTGCTCTGCCCTGCAGCCTCTTCTCCAAGCCTCTCCCAGGAAGTCAGGGGCTCTCACAGCAGGAAAGTGTCCATTCTGGCCTGGCTGCTGCTGGAGGAAAGTGCAGGAGTGGCAGATGCTGGCCTGGAGACCTTCTTTTTGTTCCTAACTGGTAATGGACGGATTTCTGCCAGGTTTGTCTGGAGGTAAAACTGTCAAGGAAAGCACAGATCAGTGCTCTGGGAACACAAGTGATCCAACACCTGCTGCAGACCAGCCTGAAACACAGACCTGGCACCCATATACCTGCATCCCTGAGGACAGGATGGGCTTTGCTGCCTTCTCACGGGAGCAGAGCTCAGGCACACGCCTGTCCTGCCTGTCAGGGAACATTTCCAAACAGGGGGTTTCAACTGGATATTAGGAAACATCTCTTTACTAAAGAGGTGGTCAAGCATTGCAACAGGCTGCCCAGGGAAGTGGTGGAAGTCCCTGGAAGCATTAAAAAAACATGCAGACATGTTGGTTAGGAACATGGGTTAGTGGTGGGCTTGCTAATGCTGGGTTAATGGTTGGACTCTGATCTTAGAGCTCTTTGCCAACATTAATGATTTCATGATTCTATGCTATCTCCCTGCACATAAACCAGCATTTTAACAGCATATCTATTTGAGTTGCAAGACCTCCTGAGCCAGGACACTGTGCAGGTGAAGGCAGAGCAGCCAGAGCTTGCAGCCTCCCATGGCAGAGCAATCCCAAGGCAGGAACAGCTCCACACCTGGGAGGGTGAGCTCAGCCCAGCCACTCCTCACCACTGTGGAGCAGCAGCATCCCACAGAATGAGGGCTCCAGCTGCACAGGCTGGCAGGCACACAGCCAGAAGAGGTTGGGCTACACTGCTGCTATAAGATCTCAAGGGCACAGGCAGTCCCTGAAAATTGCACTGATTTCTAGCTGATGCACTCCTGTCAACCAGCCACAAGTGCTCTCAGCAAGTTCAGGACCTTGATACCTTTGCAGAGCTCAAATTTGTTCAGGGAGAACTCAGATCATTCCTTGAGGACCCCAAGTCCAGTTTTTGTTGAGACCAAAGAGAAGATCAGAAATGAGGTGCCCACAGCATCAGCAGTGCCACACAAGCTGCAGGAAAGGATACTGGCTCTATGAACTTTGTCCTGCCTCCCATGCCATCGTAGCCTGTCCTCACCTAGGAGAGAGAAACAAATGAACCTGGAGCAGCACACAGAGCCTTGGCTACTTCTCCTCATGCTGGGTATGGGGAAGGGGGAGTCTTGCAGGCCCCAGCTGCTGAAGAGGGGTTAAAGGCACTTGGAAACACTCAGTACTTGTGCTAAGACCTCACTTTTGGAAAAAGACAGACCCATGGGTATTAACAAAGTTTGGGAATATTGAGCACTTTTTCAGATAAGCCAACCAAGGCTTAGGATTTTGTCACTGGGAGTGAGGAATACAAGGAGGATACCCCCTGCGCTCCAAGGAGGTGGAGGAATAGGACATTGAGAGCCACTTAGTCTGCTGCCAGGAAAGGAATGAGCATCTGTCATCCCTGGAGCTCTGCAGGACTGGGAAGTAGCCAGGTTGTGCTCTGAGATTTATTTTCCACACACTGTATGTGGCAAGGTAAAAGCCTCATTCACTTCCTCTTTCAGGGTCAGTTCAGGACAGAGGTGGCAGTGCCAGCCCCGGGCACACTCACCAACTGGACAGTCATACTTACAGAGCCCATGTTCCTGTGGGAACCCAGCAGACCACCCGAAGATGGCTTCTTGGAGAGAAAAGAGTTCCTGATGAATGCTGGCAAGAGTCCTTTAAGAGCATCATCCTCCAGATCATCTGCCCCGTTCTGTCCCACAAAATAACAAGAAAAGCCCTTTAACCAGCACAATCTGCTGAATGGAATCCACATACAGGCAGCACTAATAACACAGACAGCTATTTAAGGTAATGGTTACTGCCATACCACGTCAGGTTGGAAACTAGCAGCTTCCAACCTCCCACTGGGGTTCATGTGGAACAGTGCCGAGGAGGCAGGACACTGCCACCAGCAAGTCTGGGCAAACAGCCACCTCAGCTGACCCCACAGGCCTTGTGGTCAGCTCCAGTGGTGGTTGTGAAGCACATCTGGGGCAGAATCATCAGCAAGCAGGTGGGTCCCCACCCTCCTTTCTCCTGCCCAGTTCCAGGAGGCCTGAGGCAGCAACAGTGTTTCTAGGAGACCATCAAGGAAAACACTTTGAAGCACAGACTGGTTCTATAGATGGGCCAGTCTATGGCCACAAGGGAGAAAACAGATTCTTTATTCCAAGCTTATTAACAGCAGAATCAAAGAGGCGACACAGAAAAATCAAGATTAGTCCTTTTACCTCCACTGCTTCCTTCAGAACTTTCTTCGCCAGATTTACCACAGGAGGCCTGTAAGGAGCCCAAGGAGCAAATCAGCAGAGATTTATTGTTCAAATGGAACTGGCAAGGACAGACAAGGCCAAGCAAATGACGACAAAGCTTGCAGCACACCATCAGGCAGCTGGAGAGATATCTGATCTCACATAGAAACTTCCAAAGCAGTGAGACTTTGATCTCCTTTAGAAGCAGAAAGAGGAGGGAAAACTCACGGCTTTTTATCCAGCTTCTGCCTTTTTGCAGGGCCGAGGGGAGCTGTGCAGGGCTGGTGTTCAGGGGTGGCCACGTCGAACGTGGCATCCAGATTGATCTCATCGCTGTGGGCCGGGCGGTGGAGCTTGGGATGCTGCAGCTCCATGGGAGCAGGGCTGCAAGGCCAGGAAAAGCATCAGTCACTGAGCCACTGCCTGCACCCAGGGGAAGGTAGAGCTGCACCCCACGACACTGAGTGCTCACACAGCAGTAGCACCAGGAGCAGAGCCCTGTTCTGCTTACACATCAAAGAAAGGACAATCTGAACCCCAGAGTTTAAATTCTATGTCCCAAATTACTGCTCCCTCTCAAATGCTGAGCGCTGTGACACCAGCACCCAGAGCCCAGGAATCACACTGACACACTGCTGCTCTGTGGACACAACCCAGCTTGGTCTACTGGGCTAATGGCACAGGCTCCTCAAGAAAGGCTGCATAAAAGCAAATGTCATTTCTCAGGACAGATTCCTCTGCCTAGCTGAGATCTTTGGTCACCATACACCAGTGCATGCTCATCACAAGGCCAACTCTAAAGCCACAAGAACAGCAGCTTTAGGGATGTTTCCCAGACAGGCCACAGTGACAAAGACTTTTTCAAAATCCAGGCCATTCCTCCACCCTCTCCTGACCCAAACCCTCCGAGAATTTTCCACGTAAACCAAACATCATCTCATCAGCTACAAGAAAAAGGATACAAGGAACAAAACCACCATACCTCTGCAACACCTGCCGGACTAGTACATCTCTGCTTTCTCAGTTAAACTGTCAACTCTGGCTTTGGACCTGTCCCCTACATGCCTGTACTGTGTGTGAGGATGCAGCTCACTAACCTTTCCAAGACTAGCCGACTGAGTGTTTCCCTGGTTACAGATGGGACCTTCAGAGTATCCTGCAGGATGTCTATCTTTTTCTTCAAACTCTGGAGAGAAAATGGAAAGCAGCCAGTGAGATAAGGAAAAATTTAGCAATAGATACTTTGCCCCTTTTCCATAAATCAACATCAGGTGGAGCTCAGAGGTAGGCTGGGAAATTTAGTCACTGAGCAAAAGCCAGCATAAGTCCTGGCTTTGCAGCTGCAGACCAGTCTGCAGTAACTGGCAGCTGGCCATGAAGAAAGATATTCTCACCAAGATCTCCTTGTCTGCATTCTTCAGATCTTTCTGTGTGCTTTTTAACTCCTCCTTTGTCTTCTCCAACTCTGAAGTCGTTTTCTGCAGCTGCAGAACACAACAGAGTGTGGGTTATACTTACCTGCCTAAGGGGAACTGCAGAGCCCTGTGAGAGCAGTGTGCTCTGCAGCACATGCTACTTCCCCTGTTTAAGGGCTCCATTTTCCTGTGCCAGTCTGATCAACCTCTCCTGTACCAGTGCAATCCAATCCCTACCCAATTCCACAAGCTGCCTGCAGAGGGATGTCCAGGGCTGCTTGCCCAGCATTTACGCCTCACGGCAAGAGTTTTTCACTGCTCTAACACTTGGTGGCTGCATTCTAAATTCCTGCAGGACTTTGGACACAGCAGAGCACAGAAATCACAAACCACAGGCAGGAGGATGGCTGTGCATCAGCAGTGCTGGCACATGGACAAGCCTGATTCAACAGGGAAGCATGCCAGCAGCAGGGGTCAGGAAGTGGCCTGCTACCACTTCAGACACTTCAGCGGGTCCGGGAGCCTGGGCCAGCTCACACTCTGTGGGTACAGTCAGCTCTCTGGCAGCCAAGCCTGGAGCCCCTTGTGCACTGACTCGCATCCTCCTGACCCCACCGGCCACCACAGCTTGGGGCTGACTCAGCCAGGAGCAGCCCAATTCCAGCAGCAGAACCTTGTGGAGGGGTTAACTTCTCTGGGGAGCACAGCACAGCAATCTGAAAACCTCCTTCTGCATTTGAGGGGACAGCAGCGATGGCTGAGTAACAGAAGTAGGCCAAATCCACCCACAGCTTCTCACTTTGTTGGCTTAGACACAGGGATGCCCCAGGGAACACCTGTGCCTTGGGGAGTGAGGCTACACACACACTTTTCACAGGGATGCACTACCAGAACAAAGACAGTCCTGCCTGACCTGAGCTAACAGAGCCCAGCCATGCCTGGAGCAGGGGGAGCACAGCAGCAGAGGCATGTCAGCATCCCCAGGCTCTGCACCAGCTCAGGAGCAGCCCAGGCAGGCTCTGTGCAGGGCCACCTGTGTGTCCTCACTGTGCTTTGGGAAGCTCTCCTGCCCTGGGCACAGCATGGTGTGGGAGCCCTGGCCCAGCTCAGTTGGCTGAAGGCACATCCAGTCACAACTGGGTGTGACTGGATGTGCCAAGCCAGGACTAAGCCCTGCTCAACTAATTCTGGCTCCAAACCCCTTCCCACTTCCTTAGGGGCCCAGTTCTGCAGCAGGAGGAGCTGGCAGCTGAGTGCTCAGCAGAGTAGCCAGATGAAGGAATTGCTACTTCCAGAACCCAGTGGGAGCAGTGGAGCACCTGTGTGCTGCTGCCTTCCAGCACAGGCTCCCTGCCAAACTCTGGCTGGCTCTGCACATGCTGCCCCAGCACTGTCCCCAGAGACCACCCTCCTGACAACAGCCCATGAGCTGTTTGCTCACCACATCACATCCTGACCCAGAAACCCAGCCTGGCCCTTCCACACACCTGTACCGATCAGCATGGGAGGGGGTCACTGCAGAGGCCTTGGACCTCAGTTATGGACACGGATCTACAGGCCAGATGTCACCCTGGCAACTCACACTCTCCCTTTACCTTATTATTGACAGAAAACAGCTCCTTTTTCAGCTTCTCTGTCATCTCACCAGAGATCTTCCGAGCCTCCTTCAAATTCTCATATTCCCTACAAAGAGACACAAAGAGTCACACTGTTTGTAAGGCAGCTGAGCCAGAACTTCTCAGAGTCAAGCCGAGACCCTCAAATTGAAGCTGGACCTGCAGAGCCACCAGAGAAAACCCAGGAGACACAATGCCCTTTAAGGAACAAAGATGAGTGAGTGTACTAACATTGTCACACATTCCACTACACCATGGGGGAGAAAAAACCTGCATGGGGTACCATGCCTGATTCCACCAGCAAAATGGGAACCAGAGCCAGGGGTGTTTTAATTGCCAGTGAAAAAGACAGAAAACAGAGCACAGCCTCCATGCCAGCAGCAAACAGGGGACTTTGCTTTAAGTGACTTTTCAGAGACTTCCCACTACTGGCCATGCACATTCATTCCCAATTACACCGCAGGGACACTTGCCTCATTACAGCTTTGTACCAAAGCTGCAGTTATTCAGCTGCCATCAGAACAGACAGAAAAAAACCTCTGTTTTTTCCCCAGCAGGACCAGATGGATATCCAGGTAGGGGAGGGGCAGCAGTGGAGGCTTGCTTTGCCAGAGGCCACAGCTGCACAGTGCAGTGCTGCAGAGGGCACAACCCAGAGCTCTGCATCCGCTTGCTTTCCCCCGGGCATGAGAGGAAAGCAGAGGGAATAATCATCATCACTTCATAGGTGCACTGACAACTCTGGAGACAGTTCCCATGGTGACACACATGTCACTACAGTGACAAGAAGAACAGTTCAGTGTGACAGGCTCCAAACTAGGTCCCCAGGATCTGTCAGTCAAAGCCCAGTGGAAGCCCTAAGAGGTGGTGAAAGCCCCACAGAGCCCATGTGCCTGTGGGTGCTCGGCAGAGGGGTCTCCCTGGGCACTCCCAGGACAACACCAGCCAGCTGTGCCAGGCCTGCAGCACCTACTTTTTAAGGGAGACACAGTAGATTGCAAGCTGCTCCACCGCTGCCTGCCCGACTCCCATGTCTCTGATCATCTCCTCCACTTCCGAGCGCTGGCTCTGAAGCAACAGCTCGATCCTGCACAAAAAAACACAAACAAAAAACATACCCTCAGCACATGAATCACAAACAGACCTGGGAAAGAGACAAAAGCCCTGCTTCCCCTTCAAGGGGCTGGTGCAGCCTGAGCTTCTCCTGCAGGCACTCTGGGTGTCATGGGAGAAGAGAGACAGCTGCCTCACCTCAAGCAGGGCTTTTCACTGGGGAAAAGCAGCACTACTTGGACTAGAGAAGGGGCAGCTGCACACACATACTGCACATGGAACTGATGCCCAGCTCTTGGTCCCTATAGCCCAGTGGCTCACTGTGCTCCTGGGCTGGCATTCTGCCCCAGCATCCTCTGATAACAGAAATGGCACATAGCCATGCTCAGTGCACTAGAGATGAGGCCAGTACCCTGCCTTGCTGCTCTTTAAGGAGAGCAGCTGTCTGCAAACAGCAGGGGCAGGAGGCATGTAAGGGCAGCTAAAGCAGCCATTTCAAAGTTCAAGATAAGATGATCCAGCACATGGAGGTGGGTGCTGCAGCAGGCCCAGCAGGACCCTGCTCCCCTCCCCAAAAAGGGAGAGGTGTGCAGCCAAGCCTGCAAGGCCAGGGCGCACCCCGGATCTCACCGCTCCATGGTTCTCAGCTTGTTCCGCAGCCGGCGAGCCTCCTCCTTTGAACTTCTGTTATCCTCCTGCTGCTGCTCCAGGAATTTCATCTGCTTCTGCAGGGAAGGAAGCACACCCAGCCTGCTGTGAGGCTCCAGGGATTGCTGGAGAAACATCCCGGCTTATGCACGCTGCAGGCAGCTGGGAGCACACATTGGCTGAATGCTCTCACCACCTCAGCAGCCTGGGATTATGGACTCCCTCCCACTGCACCCCCAGCTCTGCTCCCCACAGCACAGCAGGGTCTCAGTGCTGATCACAAGGTGAGGTTGGAGCTGAACCCATGTCACAGCCCCTCTCTGCTGCACAGTGCCCTGTACGCAGCAGTGACAATTTGTTTTCAAAAGCAAGGGAGTCCACAGCAAGCAAATCTTGCTATTGCCTTTCCCTCCGTGCACAGCTGATTGCTTCAGCCTCCCAACTCTCCTTGCTATTAGCTGCTTAAAGCATAGATAGGAATGAGTGGGTCTCTTCTGGAAGACCTGGGTGAAACCAGACACCCCCTAGGCATTTCTCTCACCTGCTGCAAGTCTATTGCAGCCTATTGCTGTCACAGGCATATTTTATGAAAAATCCTTTTGCCAGGATCTTTTCTCCTGAGAAGCTGAGAAGCTTCAGCTTCTCCATGTTTTGCTGCTTTGGAATGTGATCTGGAGAATTGTTTACCCAGCATGTGAAATTGTTTTTACTTGATGACCAGTGACAGCCACCTGTGTCGAGGCTGTCACAAGATTTTATTATCATTCCATTTCATTCCTTTCAAGCCTTCTGATGAAATCCTTTCTTCTATTCTTTTAGTATAGTTTTAATATATAATTTTCTTTTAATATAATATATATCATAAAATAATAAATCAGCCTTCTGAAACATGGAGTCAAGATTCTCTTTCCTCGTCCTGGGACCCCTGCAAACACCACCACATATTGCCTCTCCAGCAGTAACACAGAACCTCAGCTGAGATGGAAAAGCACACATCTGCAGTGTGCCAGAGGATGGGGATAGCTGAATTAGCTCCATTCTGATGCATCTGTGCTGTCTAGGTTTCTGTGTGCCTGGGCACTTTGCACAGCAACTTTGAAAGGCTCTGGTTTCAGCACAGCGCTGATTGCAGGGAAAGGCCTGGCAAAAGATCATTGCCTTGTAAAGCTCCAGCCCACTCAAGTTCAAGGCTTTTATCCACTTCCTGCCACAGAAACCAAACAGCTGTGAAACCACCAGGAAGTTGAGGAGGGACAGTGTTGCAGGCTCATGTGTCACTCTTGTTTAACTGGAACCTGTCTTTGGCTTTTCCCTAACCAGAACTCTCAACACTCCAGATCCCCACAGCAGTGTTTTGTGCCTGGTCAGGGCAGAGGCCCCAGCTTCAGCCAGTCTGAAACTGCAGCAAACTGGCAGTGCCAGCAGAAGACATGCCCAGCTCACAGCCTTAACCTGCGTCACAGCAAGTTAAGCCTGTATTTTCACTGCAGAAGTTTAGTGCTTTAATCGTTAATGATGCAGTTTAAGACAGTGCTTGGCATTCAGCTGGGAAACCCCGTACACCACAGAAAAGATACCTCCAGGTCCCTAATCCTTCTGCCCTGCCCAGCTTTCATTAAAGGGACTTAAGCATACAGAGAGGGTTTTGCAGCAGGGAAGATAAGCACAAAGCCTCCTCCAGAGGTGTCAAGGCAGGAAAACCCAGCACTGAGATGCTGAGTTGAGCAGCAAGTACCAGCTTCCACTGTCACAGTTATTTCTGCTGGAGTAGGGGGCATCAGAGGTATCCTGTCACTGACCTATCCAGGATCACACCAGCATCTATGGCATGGCCAAGATCCAGGCTGCCTTTACATGCAAGCAGATTTGATATAATCCCATGGTTGGGCAAAAACAGTTGTGCTGGCCCAGGGTGAGGCCTGCCTGGCATTAATTCCTTACTCCTTCTGTCCTAGTATCAGGTAGATCCCCCAGATGCTTCCTCCCAAAAGAGCCCAGCTGCAGGTGGCATATAGCACGACAGCACCACGACACATGTCTACAAGCTCTCTCTGGGCCACTTGGCCTTGAAGGTCAAGAAAAAGGATGTAGTTTAGGACACTGGGTCAGACAGCATGGGAAGTGCAGCAGACACTTATCCCACTTTCCAGCCTGCAGCTCACAACCTCACCTGCCTGCACCCCACCTTCTTGAGACAGGCACATCACCTTCACACAGCACAGACTGCCCAGCCCAGCATCAAGGCAAAGCTGCTCCAAGACATCCCAACAAAGCTGCTCCTGCTCCTACCCTCTTCCTCTTGCTGTTTACACATAGTACATGACTACAAACTGAGTCACTGCACACTGAAGCACAACAGGAATATTTGATCCCTGGACTTCACAACATTACTAACCTAACTGAGGCAAAGCCCTGGCAACAGAACAGAGACAAGAGAGTTAGCTGGATCAGATCCCACTCAGCTGAAGCCTGCAACTCCCCCTCCATAATTTTCAGTTTGATTTCTCCCCCCAATCAAAGTAAGAAACTAATTTTCCTTGAATCCCACTTGGCCTAAACCCATTTCAGAAGAACATTCTACCTCAGGGAACCACTGTTTCAGCAATGGGGTGCTGGGGCTAGTTCCCACACTAGATTCCTGCTACTACCTTTATGACCAGCATTGCCACTTCATTAGTGAGGCTCAGCCACATTCCTCAGGCTGGGCTGGCATTTCTCCCTCACCAGGGATACCTCTACCTTGAGCACCTGTACACAAACCACAGGCCTGTAGGCTTTTTATGCCTCTGAATCACCTCAGGCAGAGCACAAACAGGACCTCGAGTCCAGCAACAGCACTTGCTTGGATTAATCAAACCAAAATGAAAATCTAGGTACCAGACCCAAAATCCCACCAGCACAATCTCTTTATTAGCAGGATCTGCAGAGATCTTCAACAGAACTAACACTGACTGCATGATGGTTAGCCCTACTGGGGACAGGAAGGGTACCTTGAGAGAGGAGCACAGCATCTCTGTCTCTCCCAGCATCTTCTGGAGCGACTCTATCGTGGCGTTGCGCACATCCAGAGTGTCCCTCAGCCCATCCACAACAGCCTGGCATTCCCGCTTTTCCTTCTCTGGAAAGGAAGAAACAGAAAGGTCATGGCCTGGTAACCCAGACTCCAGTTGCAGCACAGCAGCAGCAGCACACAGACTGCTGGCAGGCTCAGCTCCAGGCTGCCAGGATTCGGCCATTCCTGGAGAGAGCCATTTCTCTAAGTGGCGTCTGCACCAGGGTCTGTACTGAGCAATTGCTTCTCTCAGTGCCAGCAGGCTTCAAGATTTCTTTACTAAAGATAAAAAATTCCCTTTAATAGCTTTCCAGTGCCAGCCCTGCTAGCATTAAGATGATGAATCTTAACTCTTGCGTTTTCTCAAAGCCAGGCTTGCACAAGGAAATAATTCCTCTCGAGTTACACCAAGCTGTCATAGAGCTGGAGAAGAGAGCTTTGTATCCATCCTCTCCACATGGAATCTTACGTGTCAGGAACCCCTTTGGGGGCCACTGAGCAGCTGTATGCAGGGGTCCACCAAGCTGCTTCACGTGCCCTCACTAACCCCAGCACCTACATCAAAGGGCAGGAGGCAGTGACACTGGGGACATCACAGGACACAGGACAGCTTAAGTAGATTCCCCAAGTGCCCACTTTTTGCAGGTCACAAAACCTTTGCATCCTGCTCTCTCTCCTCCTGGCAATCCAGGAGCAAAGCACATGCCCCTAACCACCAGAGAGAAGGTGGTGGAAACCACCACCAGATTTCAATTTGTTTTGTGGAGACAAGGGAAGGACAGGTCAGAAAGCAACAATCACTATCAGGAGCTCCTAGACCAAACCAGGAACAGCCAGCATCATTGAGAAGCTCAAAGCAGTTGGGTAATAAGGGAAAGCAGGAACCCCTCCACCTAACCTCCACCTAACCCTGCTAAGGGGCAGGGTAAAACCTTCAGCTCAGCATCTTCAGAGTCTTTGCTAAAATTGCCTGTGGCTCCAGCCTGGCAATAGTAGAGAGCCAAAGAGTGACTTTCCAAAAAGTTTGTTCTCCTTGCAAGCCATCCAGTTTCAAATTCTGCCTCCATATCCTGTGGAAGCATGACCTGCAGTGAAGCTGCACTGTTCAATCAGGGAGTAAAAGAGCCATGTGGGACCGAGGAACAAGAGAGGAACATGTTCCAGCAGAAGCACACGGGTGGCTTCTCCACTGATCTGAATAACCCTTTCCCACCAGAGGCAGTGCCTGGAGATGCTCCCTTGCATTTGCAGGGACTCCACACCCACTGGAAGAGTTAGGGCTTCCCCCTCCTCCGTTCCCAGCTGCCCAGAGGCAGATGGCAGGAATCAAACCCCTCCGTGCTGCAGGAATGATTTTTCAGCTCATTCAGAGTGCCTCCCACAGAGCCTGCTCGGAGCTCGGCACCTCTCGAGCCATTTGCAGGCTGATCAGAGCCTGGCAGCTCCACAGCTCCTCTGCAGCACACAGAGCAGAGCATAGCTTCACATGGAGAACTTATACACAGGAACCAGCAGAGAGCAGAGTACCCACAGCAAAGGAGGCAGGAGGTGGGAAGGAGCTTCGCATTTCCAGTATGAAAAGAGAATGGGACAGGGAATGTCAAATCCAACCTCTACTCACCAGAAGCCGAGAAGATTAGCAGGCCTTCAAGCAGTTTTTCTTGGATAATATCCTAGTAAGAATCCCAGCCACCTTCCCCAGAAGATCTGGCTCTCTACCAAGTCACTAAACTCAACCAAGCTGGCAGGAGAACAGGCCTCAGAATAGAGACGTGCAGACCATCCAATTCTACTCTCAGGCTAAGGACCGAATCCTCAATCTACTGGCTATTCGTGTCTGTCTCGTGCATGCAGGGAACGCAGAGGAAAGACAACTCTTGGGGCGTGGGTGAGCCCCCAGCATTCTTTAAACATTTTTTTACCCTTCTGCTAGCATGTTTTAGGATTTCTGTCACTTAGACTGACATTTTCCTTTTGCTGCTCATGACTCATGTTCTGATGACAGGCTGCCTACAGACGATGCTTAAAACCCATCGACAAGTCTCCAGGGCTTTTGCTTTTCCTGCCTCCCTCAAACATCCTCTAAAATTAAAGATGGGAAGATGGAAGTGCGCGCACACTGAACTCCGTCTGCTCTTCGCGCGACACATGTGGCAACAGCCAAACAATTCCAATGCTGCTTTTGGACACCACTTTCACCCTCTCATCTGTTGGAGGGAATAAACCTTTGCCATATGCAGCTGTGAGTTTCCCCTCAAGCAAACCAAGGCTTTTGCTTACAAGCCTGCTCCAGATAGAGCTGTGCTGCAATTCTGTAAGCTTGTGATTAGGAAGGGGGCAAAAAAATTGCATCTACCTGTCTAAACTTGCAGTGAACTCCTGAGTTACAGCAGAGCTGGGCCAGGCTGTGGTCTCAGGCTCTGCCATATAAGCTTTGCCTCACTGGAGGTGTTCTCGCCTCAGAAAAAGCTCTGAAGAAGTTGCTCTAGCGAAACAGCTTGCAGCCTGAACCATGCCCTTGGCTTCAGAGAGGGGTGGCCTCTGCACAGGGGCTCCTCAGACCTGGCCAAGCCACCTGGCACAGGTAGAGCCCAGGAGCTGCTGATCCCCTGCAGGCTGCAGGAACTCACCTTTCAAGGAGAGCTGGGCCTTCACCTGGTCCAGTTCATTCTGAAACACAACACAGAAAACCCCATTAGGAAATACCCTGCAGAGATGCTTTCACCAGATCTTAAAAAGATTTCTCAGCAGGACTTTTGGACCAGGCAGGTACTGAGGAGGGGATATAGAAACAACAAGCACGGAGTTACAAGCCAGGATTATCACAGGGAACGGAAAGAGCACCTCCAACTGGCTTTCTTCAGGGGGAGAAGAGAGGATTGCAGCTTCATCTTAGCCTTGTCAACCTTGTGTTTCTCACACTGTCAGTCATCCTGTTTTAGCTGAATAATTTTGGAAGGCTCTCAGGGAAACACAGGAAGTCAGGCAAGAACAATTTTTATAATGTTTTACCTAAACAAGGCAATAAGGGAGGAATGTTGCCAGACTAACTGGATCACTGAGAGTTCTTTAAACTGAAGTGAACTTTAATCAGATGGAGGTGGGAGACAGAAGAGCACAGCCAGACACCTGAAAAGGTAACCAAGCATGCACTCAAACATGCTGACAGACACTGAAGTCACTGCAGTTCAGGATGCTGATATGAGCTAACAGCTCAATCGAATGCTGGAAACAGATCACTGAGAAACCAATCCATAACACACCAGCTGAGAGTGCACAAAATCTCCTGGGTACCACAAGGGTCTGAGGAGCATCAACTATTTCTAACGCCTTCATCAAGGATCAGAAAGAGGCAGCAGATGCCCTGAAGTTTAAATTAGAGAAAATGAAGTGATATAATTTAACACTGGCGAATAGCCAAAGGAAATATGGAGAGGTTAAAAAGAGAGGCTATTTATATCTATATATATATTTAAAAGAAAAACCAGAGAGATAAATATATGCAGGAAAGAGTCAACAGAAGATGACTTAAAAAGCTGTGTTAGAGAACTGCAGAGGAAAGCACGTAACAAGTCAGGCAGGAACTGCAGTGGAATAAAACCACAATAAAATGCCAACACAGGCACACAAATCTGTGCAACCCAGAATGCTACATGCAAATCTGAGCCGAGAATAGCACCAGCAGTGACCACAGCTCTGACAGGACTGGAGCTAGGGCTCTGCTAGTGACAATAAAGGCAGGAAAGGCAATGTGGGATGTAAAGCTTGGAAAGCAGAAGGGACTAAATGCAAAGCCGAGCAGAGCTGACTGGGACTTGCCCTAAGGGGCACAACTGCTGGAGGGCTAATGTGGAATTAACTCTGCTGCAGGAACTATTCTGAAGTAGCTTCCTCAGAGTCCTATTCAGGAACGATTAGTGGGCTCACAAGATGTGCTAATTTTCATGATAGCAAAGAAACCCTGGGCTACTTCAGGCAGCTATGTAACATTACCTCATTCATCAACTTAATCTGAAATCCCTCATCCTCCACCACAGCTCCTAAAAGCCGCTCCCAATTTTCTCTCCTCCGAGAGAAGCTCTCCTCTCCCTGCCAGACTGAGTTACAAGATCACATTTTCCCAAGATCAAACGAATATATCCTGACCACAAACAGACAGCTGTCCTCCAAGGCTTCTACCTTCCCCAGCAGGTTTACAGGCAGGAATCCTCCCCCCACCTCCTCTTCACCAAGCTGAAATCTCATTTGGAAGAATTCTGCAGTCCCCAGATCATAAGCAGCTCTTGACAGACTCACTGAGGTGTTACACTCCAAAACTCACCCTTTTCCTGCTCTGGGAACAGCCACATGGAGACTGTTCTGCTCACAAGGACCATCTTTAAATTCAATATAGGCTAAACCCAGGTTCAGTAATGAAGGAAATGCCTGGACACTTAGCCTGTGCTCCACAGCTACTCCAGGGATCCAGGTTCCCCCTGGTGTTTTTATTGAAGTTTTAGCCTGGGGGTGGAGGAAAGCAAAACAGCCCCAGCACTCCTGTGACTGTAAACATTTCTGAGTAACAGCAACAGTGAGAAACAGAAACAAAGACAATTACAAAAGATAATTTGGCTAATTTTGCAACAACAGGAAGGGGTTTCAGATCATGAGGGAGCTCTTCCAACCACTTCACTGGGTGCCAAAGACTGGTTCTCCGAAGAGAATCCCAAGCTTGTCACCCCAAGATGACAAGCAGACCACAGCTACATACTTTGCTTTCTAGCAGATCCCTTTTATGGCAGGAGGCCAAATGCTCATTCCAAGACAGCTGTGGGCTGCACAGATACAGCTCCAGTTGAATACACAGATGAACACTACTCTATGCCCAGGCTCTTGGAGGGTCAGGCAGTGGTTCATCACAAACCTTGGATTTTTTTATTTTTTTCTTCCTCAGGTGAAGTTACTCCTGGCTGAGGATACCAGAGGTTCTTATCTCATCCTCTGAAGAGCCCAGGCTTGGCCCACCATGTGTTCACTTTGAACTGCTGCCTGGCCAGAATCAGACACACCGTCACAGGCAGATGTCACATCTGGGTGGACATTAGTCCCTCACCCATTGTGAACAAGGCATCAGTGCTCTTAAGGTACTCCACATCTCCAGAAACGAGGCAGCACACCACATGAAACTGCTTGCAGCAGCAGCAGCCTGTACAGTGCACACAGCAGTGAATACCCACACAAGCTAATGATGCTGATTTACCCAGAAAAGTATTTGGTTCTTTCTGTTGGTGACCTTAGAGCCCTCATTAAGCAGGCTGTACACTGAGGCTAGATGTTGCTCTGACACATACACACAAGATTTATAGGAGCAGGAGGAGTTACCATTAAGCTTGTTGTGCAGGAGCAGCTCCACAGTCCTGCCCTTGAGCAAGGGAGCACAGTTCTGCACAGCCTGCCTGGAGCAGAAGGCTGGGGGAACCCATTTTAGATCCTGGGGTGGGGGTGAGAGAGAACAGGAAGATTTTCTAGGGCGATTCTCTCCAGACAACCCATTCCGAGTCACCCATCTCATTACACCTGTGGGAATGGATCTCAATCCATACGAAAGGAAATGTATCTGCTGTGAGGGCATGCAGCTCCAGGGCCCAGAGATGCTCCTCCACTCCTCTGCACACTTCAGCCTTCAGATTTGTTACTGGTGATCTTGGAGAAAGACACTGCTACTGACATTCTAGTCTGGCTGGCTTTATTTTAAAGACATACAAAGTACATATAGAATTGTCATGGCAACTGCTAATTATGGTAATTGCTGCACATGCTGCTTCTAAACACAAGAGGGTACAAGCATCCCGTTATACCAAGGTCAACCGGCCACCCTTTTTTTGGAACAGATAATTCCAAGACAGAAGGAGCCGTGTTTCATCCACACTACACAAAGGAGAATGTGGAACAGCCACTCTGCTTTTATCCCTACTCACACACAACTCTCTGCACCCAAAGGTGGCACTTGCAGCACACCACCAGCATCCCAGCTCCAGCCAGGATTCCGCCAGGACCCAGCCTCCACGTTGTTCACTGCTGCTGGTGTGGCTTCAGGCAGTTCCTTTCCTCATCTCTCTTGGGGAATCACCCAGCCCCACATCCTTCAATCTGCACAACCGCCCTGCACAGAAGGTTCCTCCAACGGCCCCTTCTTTCCAGAGGGGTTAGCAGGGCTCACACACAACCACACCACAGATACCAGCAGCAATTCACTGCATCTGGGATTTCCCTTCTCTTGTCATTGGGAACAGCTCTGTACCCTCATTCCCAAGGGAGGAACAGCAGTCTGATGTGATGGTGTTTCAGAAGGTTTCCAGGTAAAGTGAGAAGCAGAAGGAAGAGCAGGAAGAAGAGGAGGCTCCTTCAGTCATCACATGGGATTTGGTCAGAGGGAATGCTAAAGAGACTGATATGCTTCAGGTCAGACACATGAGCACAGCAAGCTCCAGCTGGGGAAGCACCTGCTGGCAGAGGACCAGCAGGCCAGGCCACCCTCCCAGGAGGCTGAAGCATCACATGAGGAAAGAACTCCCCCATCAAGTTACCTGCAAGGTCTCAGCATCCGGTGCTGCTTGCTCGTCCAGGGTAACATCAAAAAACAGCTTACTGATGATGTGTCTTTTGCTGACCTAAACACAGGAGACAGAAGAGTTTGATGGGCACAAATATGGAAACAACAGATATGGAAGACAGATGGAGGGGGAGAAGGTACTGTCTTGTGACAAGGCCATGAAAGGCAAATCAGATCACGTGTTTGACACCATTAGTGCTGATGCTCTGCTTTGGCTCAACAGCACAGCAGCAGACCCCCCACTCAGTTTCTGGCAGTGTGACTCCAGCCAAGCTCCTGAGCTGCAGCAGAAAGATTCAGACATTTCTGAATCGAGCGCAGTCTGTTCTCTGGCAGCTCAGCCCAAAGCAGCTGATGCTGAGCTAACATGATGCCAAATCCTAAGACAGAAGTACGTGCTGCTTTCTGCAGGCAGAAGGTGCTGTAATTGAATTTGATAGCTCTCCACACCTCCCCCATGCAGTTACAGCTTTGTGTTTTAAGTATTATATACAGTCATGACACCAGCTAATTGCATGGTTACTGCCACATAAGATGTTATTTCGCGATAACTCCATGGTAACCCAGAGATGTAAGAGGCAGAGAAGAACAGAGGGAATCAACAAGTCAGGGAAGGAACAAGGGCCAAGACCTTGAGAGGAGGAAAGAAGCACGAACACAGAATAAGCCCAAGCAGCAGCTGGCTAAAAATTTTCGTCTGTGAGTGAGGAAACATCTCCTGCAGCCACTACGTGCCAAGACCTGCTGGTGGCATGAAGGCTGGTGACACAAGGGACTTCAAAGACGTTCAGGTACCAGTTAAGCCAATGGAAACCCAAGTCTCAGCCTCCTATCTCAGAAGCAGAGCACATCCTTCCTTCTCTCCCCAGCCACTGCTTTTCTCAAGGGAGGGTCGAGTACTGCTAAGCCAGGAGGGGTTGTAAGGCCCACGTGCAGCAGAATGGGCTATTCACCTGACAGCAATGGGCTGGGCACACCACAAACACCAGTCAGGTGCCCCACTAAGCCCTTGCAGCCCCTCCTGTCATCATGGCAATACTTACCCAGCCTAAGGAAAAGCTGTGAAAACCCATAGCCCCTTTTGAAAGGAGCTGCAGTACAGACAGCAGCAGGGCACCCTCAGCCCAGTGCAACCCAAAGGGCTGTGAAGGGGAGTTCCTCTCCTCTGGGGATTCCCAAATGACAGAAAGTCCCTCTGCTTTTTACCACGAGCCTTTTTCTGGCATCACCCTAGGCCAGAGCTCCTTGGTGCCACAGGCGTGCACAGGGGATGGCTTTACCTGGTTTCTGCACTGCGGGCATGTCCGGCTCGGTGCAGTGTCAAACCACTGGAAGAGGCTAAGAAAGAAAAGGAAAACACAGTAAATCCTTACAGTCCTGGAGCACTGCTTCCAGGAGCCATGCCCCAGCTCCCCAGGAGACAGCAGGATGTGACTCCTCATCACACAACACACTAAAGCAGAACTGCAAACCTTCAGTCCAGCGCTGTGGCCAGCCAGAGCTCCGTGTTCCACACGCATGCTCCACCCACATCTCCAAGACAATTCCTGGCTGAATTTAGCATGTGAGCTTATCTTTAACAGGGCAGAGCTTTTGCAGAGCTCAGATCTCTCTGGGAGACAGGCACTGAGGAGCCACAGCTTTGCAGGAGCGAGTGGATGCACACGGGAGCTGCTCTATCAGGCTGTGACAGTCAGCTCCAGCCCAGCCAGCTCCAAGGGTGCCACTGAGTACGGATCTCTGAGCCAGGGGTGCCAGGCTGGGCTCTGCTCTGCCACGATGAACACAAACCTGCTGGGCTCCCCAGGACAGCTGCTAATGCATTCTGCAACCAAGCCATCACATCATACTGGAAAGGTTTATTTTGGGAGCAGGTAATGATTTGGAGCTGGCAGGTTCCCTTTGGAAGCTCTTCCTGCTCCGCTGGCTGCTGGCAGAGAGCAGGTCCGAGCAGAGCTGCTGAGTGAGAAGTGACAATCACACCCGTGGTCCTCTCCAAGCTTGTTAGCCAGGAAAGCAAATGCCCACCCTCTCCCCACACAAAGTTTATTTCCTCAGAAGAACCATTTCCTTTCAACACAGTCCTAGAAAAGCACGGAATTACCAGGGCACCTTCACCATAATCCAACATCAGTCCCTCCAAACACCCTGTGACACTGGCTCTTCCGGAGAAGGGAGCCTGCAGGCAGCACAGCGACAGAAGCACAGAATCAATTAGGTCGGAAAAGATCTGAGCTCATCGAGACCAGCCTATGACCGATCACCACCGTGCCAAGTGCCACATCCAGTCCTTCCTTAAAGGCTTCCAGGGACGGCGACTCCACCACCTCCCGGGACAGCCCGTTCACACGTGTGATCAGCACAGCCCGGGCTGCTGCGGCAGCTCCGTGAGCTCCTCCGAGCCCTCTCGCGGGACCACACAAGGTACCCACGGCTGACGCCCACGGCCGGGCCCGAGCCCCCGCCCGCCCCGGCGCTCACCAGGCCTGGTGGAAGGTGTGCCCGCAAGGCACGGCCGCCACGTCCCGCTCGTTGTCGAAGAAGTCGGAGCAGATAGTGCAGTGTGCGCGGATAGGCATGGCGGGGCGGGACCGGTGACCAGGGAGGCTCCTGAGGGTCGCGGCCCCGGGGCTGGAGCGGCGGCGCGGCCCTGCGCGGTTTGAACGCGACCGCGAGCGCGCCGCTTCCGGCCCGCCCCGGAAGTGGCCTCAGGGGATCACGGGCCGGGGCCAAGGGTGGGGCTGTGTTGGGTGGGCGTGGTCTATGGTGCGTGCCCGAGTGGGCGGAGCCGGCGGGAGTGGGCGGGGCTCTCTCCCGGGCCCCCCCCCACGCCCAGCCCGTGCCCCGCGGAGCCCCGCGATGGCACCCGGGATTCTTCCTTGGATCGTTCTCGGGATCCTTCCCGGGATCCATCCTGACGGCAGGCGCTCACGGGTCCTGCTGCCCTCGCTGCCCGGGCAGCGCTGCCGCTTCCAGCCCGCCGCGTCTCGCTCAGCGCCGCGCTGCCGGCAGGCGCGGCAGCCCCCCGGCCCCACAGAGAGACTGGGCAGGCGGCGCTGGTGCTGTCTCAGTTTGTCCTCAGCGGGGTCTTTATTTGCCAGAGATACAGCGGCGGGGCGCGGGGCGGCGGCGGCAGCCGCGGGCAGAGCCGGCCCTGCAGGCATGCAGCTGCGAGGGGGGAAGCGGGGACCGGGGAGGGGGCACGGGGGGGCACCGGGGGTCCTCCAGGCACAACGCGTGGGGGGCCGTGCGGCTGCCCCCGGGCGGGGGTCCCCGTGTCCCCCCCCCCGGGGGTCCCGGGACGGAGAGGGGGTCTCCGGGACGGCCCCCGCTCCGTCCCGGGCGGCCCCGCCTGCGGTCCCGCACATGCACGCGTGTTCCGGGGGGCCCCGGACGCCCCCCCGGCGCTGCGGGGCATGCGGCCGAGCGGGGCTGCCCCGCGTCTCTGGGCATCCCCAGGGCAGGGGACGGCGGCGGGGGACAGACTGAGAGAGCTGGGAGGACACGGGGGAACGGGCGCCATGCAGGGCTCTGCCCCGCGGCCGGCTCTCCGGCGGGGCACGTAGAAAAGGGGGCGCAGGCGGGGCTGGGGGGCCATGCCGGGGCTATGTACAGGGGGCGCGGGGGCCGCTCAGCCGCTCTGCTCGCTGGGGGGCTCGGCGGCGGCCCCGGCCTCGGTACATGTGGTGGCGGCCGGTGTGCCGGGGGCCGGGGGCTGCGCGGCGGCGGGCGGCGTGCCGGGGGCTGCGGGCTCCGGGGCGGTGGCGGAGGGGGCTGCGGGCTCCGTGGCGGGGGCCGGGGCCGTGTCGGTGGCGGTGGCGGGCTCTGTGGTCGCGGGCTCCGCGGCCGCGGCGGCGGGAGCCGGGGCGGCGGCCGGAGTCGCTGCCGGGGCCGGGGTCGCTGCCGGGGCCGGGGTCGGGGTCGCCGCCGGGGCCGGGGTCGCCGCCGGGGCCGTGGTAGCTGCCGGGGCTGGAGTTGCTGCCGGGGTCGGAGCCGCTGCCGGGGCTGGAGTCGCTGCCGGGGCCGGGGCTGCCGCCGTCTCCGACTGCTCGGGCGCCCGCAGGCGTTTCATGAGCGTGGTCACTCGCACGGCTTTCTGTGGGGGAGACACGGGGGGGTGTGGGGCTGGCGGAGGGGCAGGGACTGGCAGCCCCACCAGGCTCTTTGCCCCACGGTGGGCGACCGGGCTTAGCTGAGAGGGGACATGGAGGCATGGCACACCCACACTCACCTTCCACTTGGCCCGGGCGAAGTTCTTCTCGATCTGGGCACAGACGCCATCCTTGATGTTCTTGTCAGAGGCAGCATTCCCAGAGATCCTGGAGAGGCAGTGAGGCGTGAGCAGCCCCTGCCAGTCCCCCTGGCTCCCCATCTGACCTTGCCGCTGCTCACCACTCATGGGAGATGGCCTCCTCGGCCGTGATCCTCTGGTCCTGCTCCACCTCCATCAGGCGTGTCACCAGCTCCTTAGCTGGGGGCACAGGGGGAGAAGTCAGCACTGGTAGGGGACAACATGGGACCCTACGTACTCCCCCAGTGTGGGGCTCACCCGCTTGTGAGATGTCATCCCAGTAGGGCGGATCGAACTCATAGTCCCCAGCCAGGATTTTACGGAAGAGGTTCTTGTCATGGTTCTCATAGTCATCCTCGTCTGCCTCCTCGTAGAAAGGGGGGTTTCCCGAGAGGCTGGGGAACGTGGTGGGGGGCTCAGTCCCGCCCCAGCCCCGAGCCCTTGTAGCTACCCCGTCCCTCACCCCACACTCACAGGATGTACATGATGACGCCGATGGCCCAGCAGTCCACCGGCCGCCCGTACCGCTGCCGCCCCACCACCTCCGGAGCTGCCAGAGACAAAGAGCAACCATCCCCCGGGGTCCCCAGCCATGGCCCATCCCATCTTGGCCCTGGCGTGATGGGAGTGGGAGGCACCCACTGGAAGCACCCAGGATCAGCCCCCAGGGTGATGGGGAATGGGAGGTGCAGCAGCAGGTAGTAAGGAATGGATGGTAAGGAGCAGTAGGGACCTGCTGGGACCCAGCATTGCCCGCCCCTGCATGCCCACCTGGCTGGCTCTCACCCACCCAGGTACTCAGGGGTGCCACAGGGCTCCTTAATGAGCCCATTCTCCAGCTTGGCTAGGTGGAAGTCACTGATGACGATCTTGGAGTTCTTCAGGCGATTGTAGTACACCAGGTTCTCCAGCTGCCGGCACAGGGACTGTGAGTACCAGGATGGGGGGCATGGCAGCACCCATGGGTGCTCCCACCCCCCTGCCACCCACCTTGAGGTTTCTGTGGACGATCTTGAGTGAGTGCAGGTAGGCGACAGCCTCCAGCACCTGCCGGATGACATTGCTGGTGTCCTTCTCCGAGTAGTAGCCCTGGTCCAGGATCCAGTCGAAGACCTCCCGGCCAGTGGCCCTGCAGACAGCAGCTCTGCCGAGACCCAGCCCTGGCGGGGCCACCCCCTCCCCACTTCCAAATGTCCCAAACTTACAGCTCCAGGAAGATGAAGTATTCCTTGCGGGTGATGTAGACATCCACCAACTGTAGGATGTTGGGGTGCTTCACCCTGCAGAGAGACAGGGGCATGGGCAGGAGTTCCCAGTTTGCCCAGTAGCACAGGATCCCCTCCAGCCCCAGCACTCACATTTTGAGGATGATGATCTCGTTTTTGGCTGCCTTCCGCACTTTCCGCCCATCCCGCTTCAGAAACTTCTTGCAGGTGTACAACTTCCCTGTTGTCTTCTCCTTGGCCCGGAAGATTTCACAGAACTCCTCCCTGCAAGGGTACCCCCAGACATCTGCCCGTTCCTGGGGACCACTGAGACTGGGGTGCTTAGGTGGTCCCTGAGCCCACTAGCATTCCCCCAGATCCCAGCAGTCAGGGGGGATGCCACAGAAGTAGAAGAAAGCTGTGGCTCAAAAACACTTTGGAGGGGTAGAAAAAGCAGCATGAGAAGCAACTGATATGGAAGAAGCAAATTGATAGGGAAGGGGGAGAATTTGCTGTTTAAAAAGCCCCATCCTCAGGACAGGAGAGGTAAGACCCACTGCAAAGCCACTCGTGCCAAGGTGGAACAGCAGCACACCCAACATTAACATCAGCACAGCAGTCGGGGAGAAACAAAGGGAGATGTGCCGGTAGCTGCAGTGTTTCTGTTCTATTATTCATGGTGCTTGAGCCCATGGCCAGGCTGCAGCTGCAGGGGAGCCCCGGGGGGCACTTGGCACTGCTCCAGCAAAGCCATTGGCTTTCCAATCCCCCCAGCTGCACTGAAATCCTCACGGCCACTGCCCTGGGTGGAGGGGAACAGTGACCTGTGGGCTTTGGGTCAAAGTGCCCAGAGGATGGAGCGAAAATCTGAGAGCACCGAGGTCCCCACTGCCACCCAGTGTGACCCTGCCAGGTGTGACCTCTGTCCAAGCAGAGGAAATTTTGGAAATTGATGGAAAAAATTCTAGTGCCTATTTTGTGGTCAACCCTCTCTCAAGGGGTGTGAGGGCTTCATTTTTTGGAGTGCATCCTAACAGGTTCCTCAGCATGGCAATAAAAGTTGGGGGAAGCAGCAGTGCTCCACTACCCCTCAAGTGACATCTGTCTTTCCTTTGCTGTGGCTGAGCCCTCCTGATTCACAAAATGCTCCAGGGAGCCAGGATCGTGTGGAATTGCTGCAATCCCTGCAAATCTTGAGGGGAGGAGGGAGGGATATGGGAAGCTGCCCAGCTGCAGCCAGCAGCAGTGGGAAAGCTCACTGCTTTCCTTAGAGCTAGCTGTGAATATCCCCCATGCAACCCACGAGCAAGAGGGTCTAATTAGGGTAAAGCCACCCCAAAATACACCCTGCAATCCCAGCCCAGCTGGGGACCAGCACCCCCAGAGCCCCCAGAGGCAGTGTTGTGCCACTCCTCAGCACCCCAAGAGCCCCACACAGGTGGCTGGGGTTCCCCAGGGCATCCATGGGGCCGCAGAGGGACCAACTCACGTTTTGATGACCTGGCCCAGGTCATATCTGTCGGTCACCTCAGACGGCTGGTTATAATCTTTCTTGTCTCCCAGCGTCACGCAGCCAAACGGCATCGCAGGGCCCGGTGCTGGCAGGGCAGGGAGAGGCAGTGAGTGCCCCGGCACTGCCGCCCCCCTGGAGCCACAGCAGACCCTCCCAAGCTGTGCCAATTAACGTGGAACCTGAGCACAGCGGCTGCTCGTGCTCTGCAGCTGCCGCCAGCCGCCATGTGCCCAGCCCCACCGATGGGCATCCGTGCCTGTGGCATCCAGCCTCTGCCTGGGCCCAGGCTGCCAGCACAGCCACAAGCTTCCCGCTCTGGCCCCTGTTGGTGGATTATTAATGATTAATTAGCAGCCAGGGTTAGCACAGTGCCTGGAGCACCCACTGAGGAGACAAGTGGAGGTGAACGGATCCTTTCCTGTTTCTCAGCCCAGTCTTGCCCACAGTAACATTTCAGCAGATGGGGCCTCCCCAGGCAGAGCATTGTCACACGTTGTCACATATGCAGTGGGTTACACCAGTCTCAGCTTGCCATCCCCAACCAGCCCTGACTGTGGCACCAGGCAGGTGGCACTGCAGCTCAGAGGTGCCACTGGCAGCAGTCAGGACACCAGCCTTGGCAGATGCCAGCTTCTCCAGCCCTTTAGAAAGGATGCTTTGCCCCTTGCTTCCCTGTTGGGAACTCTTCAAAACCAGATCCTTCTTGGATGCTTCCCAGAAAAGCAAATTGATCACATAAAGTGATTTCTTCCCCTTTCCCACCGTGTTAGCGGGAGGAAGTTTCAGCTGACATTATTTTTTGACAGCTCAGAAGATGACAGAGCTGCCTAGGGCCCCCCAGCCCTCTCAGATGGGCCTGAGCGGGACCTTGTGATGGGAAGCTGGGACTGTGCTGGAGGCACCCCTTGCCCAGGCTAAAGCTCCCCAAACACCACGCTGTGCTGTGCCCTGCTGTGCCCTGCTGTGCCGTGCTGGCAGCCCGGTGGCGAGGGCTGCGGGCAGGATGGCTGCGGGATGCGGGATGCGGGAGCCGGCATCGCGGGTACCCAAGCACTGAGCCTGTTGCTATGGCAATGGGAGCTGAAGATGCAGAAAGCGGCACATCCTTGGGAGGGGGCAGGGACGGGCAGCACCCGGCAGCACCCGACCCACCTGCAGGTGCACAGCCCCATCCATCCCTGCTGTGCAGGCCCTGGGAGGAAGGCATGCTGCCTGCAGCACCCGGGGCATGCACTGAAGTGCTCCCTGGGGTGATTGACCCAAACCTGGGTGGGACGTGAGTGCGGTGAGCCAGGGAATGGGGGGATGCTCCTTCCTGCCTCCACCCTCTGGGGCTGAACTGCCTCTATACCTGCTGGAGTGATGCCCCCAGGATGGATGCTCCCAGCTTGCAAGGCACCCAGGCACCGTCCTGCCAGGAGAGCCCACACCGAGTAAGAGCCCTGCCCAGCAGGCATGCACCAAGTCCCAAAAGAGAAGAAGAGCACCCATGGGACACCACTGCTTGTGCCCCAGTTTGGATGAGATTTTCCAGCCTACTCCTGACTCATCCCAGCAGCTCTCCTGGCAAACATGCCCTGCCTGGCACCTCTGTGTCCCCATGCCACACGACACCAGCTCTGCCGTGCCACTGTACCTGGCCAAGGGGAATGAGGGCTGTCCTGGCAGCTGCTGGAGAGGCGGTGGGCTCAGTGCCACAGACCATCAGGGGCAGGGCTGGCTGGCAGATGGGCAGGCTGCCAGCACTGGGGGCACGGTGCCAGGATTAGCTGGGAAGGGGACCGGGATGGGATGATATATCGGGATTTTATTGCTGTCTATGGGAGCACTCAGCTAATCTGCGCTCATAAAATTAGTTCCCGTTGGTTTAGTGGCCACCCATCCTGCCAGGGCTGAGCATTGCCATCCTTCCCTGCCCCAGGCTGGCTTCGAGGGGCTCAGCGCTCCTGGGATACCCCACAAGGGAGGCTGGTACCCAGCCCAACATCGGGGTCAGCACCTGCACCCCACAGGTGAGAGCACCCCCCCGGAGCAGGGGCAGCCAGGCAAGAGGTGGGCAAAGGGAAGAGTGCTCCCTCCACGGGGTGCCGGGGGGAAGGCTCCGTGCTGCGCTGGCACCCGCACGCAGCCAGCACCCCCCTCCAAGAGTCTAATTTGGGAGCAGAAGCAACAGCGGGTGTAAGACAATAGCGGGGAAGTGGGTGGCCGGGTGGGGATGGCACGGAGGGATGACGCAGCCGTGCAGCCCTCGCCAGCGGGGCCCCCCAGCCCCCGACCCCCCGCTCTGCCCCACGGCGTGAGGTGCCACCGGCTGGTATTTCATCTGCAGCCCCGCTTCCACCTGCAGCTGCCCTGGACATGTCCGTGGGGGGTTCCCCCCGTCATCCCGCCCCCACGTCCCGGGGGAAGGATGTACCGGGGACAGGCAGAAAACGCAGCCGGGCTAAGACGGACCGAAATATTGCTAGTGCAGGCAGCGGGAGGCGGAGGGGAGGCGGAGGGGCCGGCCGGCCCAGCGCTGCCCGCGGAGCCGCCGGGCTGGGGCTGAGACAGGGCCGGGGGAGTCCCGCCGCCCCCGGCCCGGGGTGTGCGGAGGGACAGCCCGGGCCGCGCTCCGCAGGGAGGTCTGCGTTTGGCCGGCTCGGAGCGCTGCGGCAGCGGGAAGGGAGCGGACTGCGGGAGAGAGAGGTGCGGGGTCCGGGAGGGGATGCTCGGCGGCGGGGGCACGGGGAGAGGCTCCCCGGCAGCATCCGCTCCCGCGGTGCCGGCCCGGTTCCCCGGGCTCCTCGCGGAGACGGGGGCGGCACCAGGACAGCAGTGGCCCGGGGGGGCGAGCGGGGAGGCGCGGGGGGAGCCGGGCTCCGGCAGCTCGCCGTGCCCACGGCGCCCGTCGGGGCTCGGGCTCTGCGGGACGCGGGTGCCGGCGGGGGCAGTGCGGCGGCGGGCGGCCGTCGGGGCGCGCACGCACCGGACAGGGATACGCGCGGCCCCGTCGGGACGTCCCGGGCCCCCGGGGTCGGGAGGAGAGTTGGGGGCAGCCCCGGGCCGGACGGCGACAGATGCCAGCAACGCCCCCCCCGCCGGGCCCGGCCCCCCTCGCCCCCGGTCCGGCGCGGCGCGGCGCTCACCTGCACGCCTCTCCGACCGCAACGGGGGGCCGCGGCCCGGGGCCGCCGCTCGGGGGGAGCGCGCCCCTCCCGCCCGCCCTCCCGCGCCGGGCCGGGGCCGAGCCGGGCCGAGCCGAGCCGATCCCCGCCGGTGCCAGCGATCCCAGCCGATCCCAGCCCAGCCGTCGGTCCGTCGCGGCGCGGCCCCGCGCGCCCGGCGCGGCAAGTTGGGGGGGCGGGACCGTGCGGCCACGCCCCCTTTCACGCCCCGCCCCTCCCCTGACGTCACCGCCAAACTTCGCGCCCCGCCCGTGGGGACGGGTCACGCGTGGCTCTGGGACCGCCCGGAGCGCGGGAGGCGAGGCCGGGGGGTTGTCACCGAGCTGGGACACCGCCACAGCCCGGGGACCCCGTGGAACCAGAGACCCCATGGGACACCATAGTGCACCCTCTGGGCTGAGCCGGGATCCCCTGGGCTGTGCCATGGCCGATGGGATGGGATGGGATGCGATGCGATGCGATGGGATGGGATGGGATGGGATGGGATGGGATGGGATGGGACAGGAGCAGGATTTTAGCACAGTTGAGCGTGGGCTCAGCATCACAGGTATCTGCCCCCTGAGGGCACTAAAAGGCACGATGAGGACATGGTAGACACATGTTCCTGCCTCTGTGCCATCATCCAGTTGGAGCCAGGCAACTTCTCCTCCAGCAGCAGGGCCGAAGGCTCTACTCACTTCCCTATGACAGGGTTTGTCTTTGTGCAACAGCCTGGAGGAAGGAGGGACAAGAAATCGGCCACCCTGATTCTCCTACCTCTGCCCAGAGCCCAGTGTGGGACCAGCCCTGGGTGGGCAGCACAGTCCCCAGGGTACAACAGGGCACCAGTCCCTGCCCCAGCCCCCTCGCCCCCCGCTCCTCACGCAGTGCCGCCACGTGTGCAGAGCCCCCCCGAGGGCTGTGTGCCACACGCTGGCATTTGCTGCCCATATGGTGCTGCTTCTGAACTGCACCCCCACTTCCCTCCCCTCCCGCCCCTGTGCCCACCAAACCCCAGCTCCCCAAACCTCCTGAGGGCCTCAGCCACCACACGGTGTGGCCATGCACTCACGGGACCCACAGCCCTCTCCCACCCATGGGTGGGGGACACCAGGGTCCCAAAGCAGCCTGTCCCCTCTGCTCACTGGAGACCAGCCAGCACTGCAAGGGACAGCCAGCTGGGGCACTCCCAGCACCCGTCCCCTGTGTGGCACCGAGCCCTGCCAGCCCCAGGCCTATCACCACCCGTGCTGGGTGATTAAGGGTGTGTGAGAGCAAGGGGAATTTGCAGGGCACTGTAGTTTGAGCTTCTAATCAAGAGTTTAATCATTGTGGCTGGCAGCAGAGCTCCAGGGTTATTAATCTCTGCACCTCGCGGGGACCCGAGTGTAAGCCATCATTACCCGGCAGGCACCCTGTGCCTCAGGGCTGCCCGGCGCTGCCTTGCAGCATGAGGGATGTGGTGGCACTTCTCCATTGTCCCCTGACCCCGGCTCGTGCCTGTCACCTCCTGGCAGCAGTCTCCTGCCACAGGCTCCCATCACTGTGCTCTGGTTCCCTCCTGCTCCTGACTCTGTTCAGATCTTGGTCCACTCCGTGCCCCGTTTTGGGGTGATGAGCTTTGCTGACCCCAATGGCGTTTGTCCTTACAATGCCATGGCCCACTGCCCCATGCACCCACTCCCTCCCCACTACACCCCAGAGCTGAGTGTGGGATGGCATGGCTTGTTTGGGGTGATTTTTCCTACAGCACCTCTGGAGAGAGTGAGGCTGGGGTGCCCAGTGTGGGGCTGCCAGGGCTGGGGGCGGCACCCAGCTGTACACCTCTGCCTCAGATGGGGGACATGGGGTGGGGGACACCTGCACATACCCCCCTGCTTCAGCTGGGGGACACCTGGCTGTATCCCCGTGCCCCAGGAGGGTGCAGGGATGGAGGGCCAGCCCAGATGGTGCTGGGGGGTGCAGCAGGGGGTGCTCAGCACGTTTGCTCTGGGGTGCAGTGGGATGCATGTTCAGCATGTCTGTGCTGGGGTGCAGTGGGGTGCAGTGGGGTGCAGTGGGGTGCAGCGGGGGGTGTTCAGCGTGTCCGTGACTCAAGCACCACGCGGCAGCGCATCCCTGCGTGCTTGCCATCGCCATGGCAACCGCCAGGCAATCAGCGATAATTGCGCACGTCGGCCCGGCAACGGGGCCAAATAAACCCCATCCCTCCTTTCGGGGGGCCTGTGGGGGGCAAGGAGGAGAGAAAAAGAGGCGGTGCAGCTGCTGATGGCCACCCCTGGCCCTTCACTGGGATGAGTGGCAGTGGGGGTGCACAGTGGCAGGGCTGCCCTCCCCACAGGTGTCCCAAGGCACCTCTGTGCCAAGGTGTCAAGGGACACAGCCAGAGAGCCACTCAGTGTGGTCACCAGGCACGGTGTCCCCTGCAGTGCCACACCTCGGCCAGCCCATCCCGGCTGGTGACCACGCCGTGTGTGAGGACAGGGCTGCCCCACACCTGGCTGTGGACAGGGCTGCCCCACATCTGGCTGGGCACCACTGGCCGTGGCTGCTTGTCCCTGGCCAGCCTGCTCCTGATGGGGGCTGTCCCTGTGCCAATGACAGCACAAAAAGCCTTGTACCTCTCCAGTGGCTTGGTTCCTGTCACCTCCGGGGCTGGCTCTTGTCCCTGGAGCCCTGATGGGAAAAGGGGGCTTGTTTTCCACAGCGTACTCCTGCATCACAGTGGTGCCATGGCATCTGGGTTTGACTCCCCTTCCCACTGAAAGAGCTTTGGGGGTCCCCTGGGTCTCTGGCAGCACCTGCAGCCACAGGGACTAGGGTGCAGGGAGGCTGCTCAGGGCTCGGGCTCGGGGAGAGAACTGTCCCCAAGGGAGAGGACCAGGACCAGGACTGGACATGGCTGGCACTGATCCTAGGTGGGTGCTGGGATGGGCCGAGCCTCCCCAGCTAAATGCCAGTGCTGTCTCAGGGGCAGAGAAAGGAGAAAAATATGTGCCTTATAGCCTGGAAGGCTTTGAGGTAAAGTAAAGCTTCCTGGAGGACAGCAGAGCTCCCCAGGGGCCAGCAGATATCCCCAGAGGACAGCAGAGATTCCCAGGGACCACCAAAGCTCCCCAAGGGCCACCAAAGCTCCTCAGAGACCAGGAGAGGTCCTCAGGGGCTACAAAGCTTCCCAGGGGCTCCTGAAGCTCCCCAAGTACACCAAAGCTCTCCGGGGGCCAGCAGAGCCTCAGGTGGATGCGGGGGTGCCCCGGGCTGTGCAGGTGCCCCCAGTTCCAGGTTCCAGGGCCAGGCAGGGAGGGCAGAGGGCCAGGGCTGGCTGCGGGGTGTGGGCAGCAGGGACTGGGGGTGCCAGGGCAGCCCCCCCGCCGCTCACAGGCATCATTAGCAAAACTTGCCGGTTTCTAAAAATGGCACGTCGGTGCCGCGGCGGCTGCTCTTCACGCCCGCTCCCCAGCACCGGCAGCCGCTAAAAACAGCTCGGCGCTGCCTGCTGCCTGCTGCCACCCCTCACCGGGACGGCTGGCACCGGCGACCACCGCCTCACCCAAACACTGATTTAGCACAGTTTTGCCCGTCCCCAGTCCAGCCCCCACCCCGTGGCACTCGCTGCCCGCCCTTTGCCGGCAGGAGCCCTCAGCCGCTGCCGAGGGGCCATTGCGGCATCACCGGCGCACGCCGTGCAGCGGGTCCCGGGCGGTGCCGGTGGCGGGACCGTGCCCTGCCCTGCCTGGGCACCCGCAGCCCCGCGCGCGGCCACTCATGTTTTATAGATGGCTCCGATTTTAATAATTAATGCCTGCTAACGACAGCACTTTCCCCAAATAAAACATTTAAAGTGCTGTGTGTGCACGGCGCGTTGCCGGGATGGGACACCGGCTGCTCTGCCGCAGCCGTGGCGGATGGGCACGGCACGAGAGGCTTGGCACAGCCTGGCACAGCGTGGCACGGCCCGGCACGGCCTCACCTGCCCACAGCTCAGCCCGGTGCTGCACCAACCATGCCCAGCCATACAGCAGCTCAGGGTGCCACCACCCAGTGCCCACCTGTGGGTGCCCAGGTAGCACCTCTAAGGCACCCCCAGCTGTGGCAGGGGTGCCAAGTGCCATGCAAGGTGCCACCCTGAGAGGTCACCTGCCTGTCCCTGGCGCCGTGGCAGTGGGCACAGTGCCAGTGCCAGTCCCAGCTAGCAGCATCGGACAGGGGTGGGCACATGCCAGCCCTTGGCATGGAAGTCTGGGCGCTCTCTCCTCACCTCCCGCAGCGTAATTAGGGCAGGATAAATGTGGATTAGCATGAAATCTGTCATCTCTGCGAGCACATTCGTGGGGGGAGGGGGGCAGCCTAAAGCGGGGGCCGCCCACACGCACATCACCGTAACCACACCAGACTTGTGAGCTAACAAGCAGTTCACTGTGCCACCCCAGTGCCAGCACGGACAGCCCTGCTCCCTCCAGGTACCCTGCTCCCACTGGCTGCTCCCACAGCTGTCCCCTGTGTCACCAGACAGCAGGCCTGGCATGCATCTGCCACCCAAACACAGCCCTGGGCACCCACTCTGCTTCATGTTGAGGGGGGCAATTGCCAGGGTGCCAGCTTGTCCGTCTGTCCATCCATCCATGCACCCACACATCCATCCATGCACTCATCCATCCACTGATCCATCCATCCATCCATCCATCCCTCCATGCACCCACACATCCATCCATGCACTCATCCACCCACTGACCCATCCATCCATCCATCCATCCATCCATCCATCCATCCATCCATCCATCCATCCCTGCATCCCATGAGCTGCTGGTGCCCCAGTCAGCCACCCTGGCTGTCCCCCAGGCATGCAGCATCCCCCAGCACCAGTGCCCAGCATCTCCCATTGCTGGTCCAGCCCTAATAATCACACAGTGCCAGGCTCTTCCCGTTGCCACAGCAACTCAGCAACGAGCCGAAATGGTGCTGCTTGGCCTTCCATGTGTGAGGTCAGCACCTACACTGGAGGTCATGGTCACCCAAAACCCAGGCCAGGGGAGCAGAGCAGTCGCCCTGTGGGGAAACTGAGGCACGGTGCTGGGACCCAGCTG